GGTCTTTAGTGTTTAATTCATCAAATCTGTTCTTCAGATGATCTCTAAATTATAGCCCCTCTATTTTAGGTATCCAACATCTAAGTTACCCGTCCCTATCTACCCTGTGTACAGAGGGGATAGGCTGGATTCTTCATAAGAAGACTCCCTCCCTCTCAGCTAAATAATTGCATTATTTTTTCATTCCATTTCCCCCCACACTTTTTGAAGCCTCCTCGTATATTTGTACATCTTTCCTGAGCAATATTTCTTATATATAAGAAATTGCTAGCCAAGGTTTTCCTGCCTTAGCTCTGTTTGCATTTTCTAAACATGTATGTCTATTTTTAATAGTCAGTAAGAAATAGCTTGACAGTATGAAGCTGCAAAAGGAAACAATGGCTGAGAAGGTGCTAGAGACACAGCAGCTGACACGAGAAGGAAACGGAAACATAGTCAGTGAAAAGTACATTCGTCAGTAGACGTCGTTCTCGGTGTCGGTAACCCTTTGTGTACATAGTTACACATATTCTACTAGACTTTCCACGGATGTATAAAAAGCAGAGGGGTAGGTGCCCAGTGCTGGCTTCCAGGTGAGGTGGTGGCAGACGTTTCCTGCCAGTTGCTTTACCTTAATTCCTTCTCACCATGAGCATGGGGTGCTTGAATAAAAAGAAAAGAGTTCTTTTTGAAAGCTATGGTATTTAATCAGTATATTCAGAATTGTTAAAATTTGAAGTGTCTTTTAGTTATGCTCTTGTTGAACTGTCTCAGCCTCCAGCTGCGCCCACAAGTAGGAACTACGCAGAGATGCGGGAAAAGCTCCGCCTACGCTTGACCAAGAGGAAGGAAGAGCAACCTAAAAAGGCAGACCCCACCTCTGAGAGGGAGAGTGTCGTTGACCATCGAAAGGTCGAAGACTTGTTACAGTTTATAAACAGCTCAGAGACCAAGCCAGTAAGCAGTACTCGAGCAGCCAAGCGGGCCAGGCACAAGCAAAGAAAGGTAACTACACAGCTGTGTTTCTTGGGGTTACTTCACTCCGTGTGTGGGGACCCCCCGTCTGTCTCTGGAGGCTGGTTTCTTGGGTGCTGTGCATGTGGAGGTCTGGGTGTGAAGACCCCATCTGTCTATGGAGGCTGATTTCTCGAGGGCACTGTGCGTGTGGGGAAGGTATGGGTGTGAGGACCCTGTCTGTTACGAGTTAAAGACAGAAGGCTGGTTAAAGACCTCCACTTTGCTCATGTTTTCGGGGAACCACTTACCCTTTGGATTCAGGCATTTGTAGGCAGAGCTGAAGCAAACCTTCAAGTCCTTGTCCCGTAGCTGTGACTTATGGGTGCCCTTTTCTCCCAAAGAAGCTTAGGAAGGCAGGGCCCTGGGCACGGAGGAGATGGGACATGGTGGGTCCGCATGGGCTGTACAGACTTGGGGGTGAAGGAGGGAGCTCTGCTCTGACGTTGAGACAGGGCCTGTGCACAGCGGCTCTCCTCAGAGGGTCATGGAGGCCCCACCACTTTTCTGGTCCTGCCCCGTGCCATGTCTTCTCCTTCAGAGGGGACGCTGGTTACCAGTGCAGAGAGAGATGACCAGATCCCCGGGACCGGGCCATCCACACGCCCCTGGGACTGTAGTGCCCCACAGGCAGACACGTCAGTCCAGTGGCACATCCCGTGGCCATGAATCTGCTTGACCTGTGGCCTGGAGACTGTGTCTGCTGGCAGACTGAACCTGTGTCCTTGTCGCCTTGCCACACGACAAGCCATAGAATAACACCATTCTCTGAGGCCCTGTGCTCTGCTCACCCCCCTGGCACACACACACTTTATTTTGTTAGGCCGGGGGGTGGGAGCTTCCCACAGCACAGTTCAAAGACCCTCCTGTGTTTTAAAGACCCAGCCCTCAGAGGGCAGAAGTGGTCCAAGCTTCGGGGACTAGGTGAAATGAGAAGGGTGGCACTAGCCATGGGTGTAGGGATGGACCCGTCCTCAGTGTGGGCAGTCTGCCAGAGACACTGACTGTGCGAGGCCTACAAGGTGGCCCAGAGACACTGACTGTGCGAGGCCTACAAGGTGGCCCAGAGAC